GATAAAACATGGGATCAAAGAGATTGGGAAACTTTTTAAGTAATTACCATTCATAGTTTGGATCAAAAAGTTTCTAAGTAATTTCATTAAGGACATACATCTGCCGAAGATCCAAAACTGAATGCATAACCTTCTATACGAGGCAAATTGATCCCGATACAATGAGGGAACATATACCGATGAGGATACACTATACGACATTTGAAGACCATTATGTGCAACAACAATGACAAGAGAGAATGAACATGCAAGTGCTTTCATAATGAAGCACTTCAACCCTGGAGAGAAAAAAGCCCCAGATCAACTTTCCTGAAGCAAATACTTCAGCTTCCTCGGAACAGAAGAACGATGTAGTAGAGAGGGAAAAAAACTCCAGATTTCGAAGGCAGCATCAGCGTGCGTTGCAAGTCTTCAAAGCAATTATTATCTGCTCTTGTTTTTCTGACTAATCCTTAGTAACCAATCTTCGGCCACGAACTTGGATACCCATCTCCAATAGGAAAGCCCTTCAACAGTTTATTACAGAAAATGCAGGAAACAGTCCCCGGCACAATTCATTATGCACATTATTATCATAGAGTTTTAACTTAAATACACCGATAGTGTAATAATTTTTACACTATCTAGGCAAATCATTCTGAAGGGTTCACCATCAATAGAAAACCACTGCAGCAGAGGCTTTTGGTGCATTCATTAGCCTCTCCTCGAGTTCCTGAACCTTATAAGACATAAGAGTAATTGGGCCATAGATCCACGTCTGCTTCTCCGCGAATATCACCATTTCCTCTAACACCATGGAACTCCTGAGCAAATATTCCACAAAATGAATCACATGCTTCTCCATTACGAAACCAGCTACCTCCACCGTCTTGAGGTGATGAGTCAAGCACTGGACAGGAGTAACTACTATATTCCAAAATTCATCTCCATCAAAGTCATATGAGTGAATCCACGAAGTTGCGTTCTAAAATAAGCACAAGAGGAAATATCCAGTTAAGAATTGTCCCGAACTATGTATAATGGATACTAACAAGGACTCGGAACTGCAAAATCTTAGGGTAACACATTATGAAAATACATCTACAGTTACTGTGAAACAAACATCGAAAATCATACATGTTTAAAAATTTAAGTTTCCACCCTGAAGAAACATGATGTCTTATGTTTTCTACTTGATGGTTTCTCATGACTCCCCAAATAACGAGTAAAAAGGAGATTAGGGAAAAAAGTCCTATTTGCATATAGTACAGAGACACTCACATTTCACAGTAGGGTCATTTATATGAAATATGAAAATGATATTCTTTTATATAAAAAAAAAAAAAAGGAAACTGCCAAAGTTAGTATCCCAATCATGCCAACTCGGGTTAGTGTCCTACCAGTGTCTAACACCAACATGTATTACCATTGCAAAGAACACAGTTAACAGCAAGAGCAATAAAACAAATAAATTTTGTCTTACTCGGGATGGATAATCATAGTAAGTAGTTATTTCGATGATAAGATTTTCCAAGCAAGGACAGTGCTTCAGCAAGTTCAGTATTCCTGGTAAGTGCCATTTCACAAAATCCAATTGAAGGTGAAGCGTCTTGCAACTGAAGGTCGGAGCTGGTAGATTTGTCAACTACCATGAAGAAAATACCTAGGCAGACAAAAAATAAAACACAAAAGTTAAAGAAACTAAATAAATAGATTTTTGCATAAGAATATTCAAGCCCTTGGTCAACATTCTTTGTTTCTATGTGAAACATGAGTATTCTCCATCTATTTATTTGAACAATGCATCTCTACACCATGAAAAATATATTTTCTGTAAGTTCAAATTAAGATTAAACACATTTGACGCTTAAACACATTCAATGCGATGCACAAATTTGGTGTGTGCTTCAGCACATAAGTAAATTCTTGTGTTGGCGAAAAAGACTATGTTTAAAAGGAAATGGTCCTATGCACTATGAACAATGCTTCTAAGTGATCAAGAAAACAAGGAGGTTTCTTCCTTATGTATTGACATGATAAAGAATGCAATCAAACGGATGCTTACAGTAGCAAAGAATGCTGCATCCACCAAATTTGATATAAATGCTTGCTAAACTGAACCATGAAAATGCAGACATCTAAATTGCTTAGAGGAAGTAGCCTACAGTCATATGACAGCTTCAATATACTTTAGTTTTTATTGTCTAGCCTCCATAAGACCCTACATGAAAGAATATGCCTTTTGCTGTAGGACTTAGGATATTGACTTATCTACCATTTCTGAGTTTATGGAAAACAACATGAGAAGGGTGTATTTGTAATCTGATGATATTGAAATAAAACTTTCTTTCTTTTTCGATAAATTAAAATGAAATTTCTTAAGAAAAACAGAGAAGCACAAACTAAAGATGACGATTTAATCAACAAGGACTTGTGCTGACAGCCACAAGGTAAGTGACAAAAGCATTAAAAAACTGATTGCACAATGTAAATGAAATGTTGATGGATGCCTAAACCTAAGACGTTAAAGACAAAGAGCCCGTTTGGATTGGCTTATTTCAAGTGCTTTTAAGGCAGAATAACTTTAAAGTCATTTTGTAATGTTTGGATAAAGTAAAAAAAGTGCTTTTAAGCACTTGTTTTTAAGTTAAAATGATAAAAACAAGCCAAAAGTCAAAAGCTAGAATTACTAACTTATTGGTTTATCCTTACAAGTCACTTAAAAAAAGCCCATCCAAACGGGCTCAAAGTCCAAAACCATAACCCCTCCGGTCCATAAATTTATTGATATTCCATATCTTGAATAGAAGAGTTTATAGTTAGTATGTCCACCTAAAAGGCTATTTCTCCATAGAGTCAGAAATCTCAAATATACCTGGAGAAGTTGTGGAGAAAGAGAAAAAGCCACATACCAGAGCAAACCAGGAACATAGCTTGAGAGTTTTGGCCCCTGTAANGGCTATTTCTCCATAAAGTCAGAAATCTCAAATATACCTGGAGAAGTTGTGGAGAAAGAGAAAAAGCCACATACCAGAGCAAACCAGGAACATAGCTTGAGAGTTTTGGCCCCAGTAATTATTTGGAGGAGTATTCTCATTTCTTGATAATCCTTGTACTCTTTGAAATCAAACTTCTCCATACGATTGACAGACACTTCAACAATAGATGCTACATTGATAATATCCAGTACCTCCACAGTTTCAGACATGTCTAATGATAGGAGAGTTGGACATGAGACGTGTATCCTTGTTCCAAACCATCTAATGCCAAGTACCAATGTCTTTAAATTCGAATTGAGCAGAACCAGTCTTCTATGGCCGTAGCAAAACCACAGAGTCAATTCCTCAAGCACCGGGCAACCAGATAGAATATAATCCATCGATTGATCCATTAGCATAACATTATCAAGAGAAAATGTTGTTAGAGCCTTCAACTCGCTCTTCTTTTTTGCATTGATCTTACAGTATGCCAATCGGAGTTCAACCAAATGAGGACTGCTTAGAATAAAATTAGGCAGATCATAATAAGCCCAGGGCTCAAATGTACCATGTGCAGAGATGGACAAGTCAAGGACCTTCAAATTCTTATTTAATGCGAACTGGATCCAAGTACCAATTTCATTAGCCATTCTTTTCTCACTCCTCAAACAGTCATACTGCCATCTGTTGGATACTCTCTGTCGAATTGAATGAGATATACTAAAATGAAAATCAAGGCAGAACTTATAAAGAGTTGGGCTCTTATTAAGAAGAATCACATGACGAATAAAGTTCAAGAACCTTTCGTCATAGTCAGGACGATTAGCTTGACTATAATAGACATAGTTATGCCCCGGAAACATGCATTGATCAAAAGTGAGTGTGTGGATGAATGGCCAGAGGTGATTAAATCGTCGAATCAAGATTGTGTTCAGAGAATCGATTGTTGGCAATAAGGAGAGAATATGGATGAGGATGGCATCTGGTAGTCCACTTATACGGTCTTCATTAAAGTTACAGCTTCTTTGCCTTGCAGACATATTCCTTCTGTAAGACAACATAGCACATTTTTAGGTGCGATAAATTGCAAGCTATGAAATGACTGAGCATATGCCGTTCCTAGAAACCAAGAGGCACATAACAAGAACTTTCCTTCCTCTAGTTAATCAGGCTGAGAAATCCTCGAGCGATAATCTCAGCATATTAAATTTCCATTTAGAGATAACAATTCATGATGATAAAACATGGGATCAAATAGATTGGGAAACTTTTTAAGTAATTACCACTCATAGTTTGGATTAAAAAATTTCTAAGACAAGGCAAATGTATTTTTAGATTCAATCACTTTCTAAGTGTACCCACTGATATAAAAAACAAACTTCAAAAGGAATCCACTTAGAAGAGTTTTAAGGGAAAAAGAAATGTATACGCGCACATATCCAAGGCATCCACCTAAAAGATAAACAAACAGAATCATAAACCAAAAGAAAAGCTTAACAAGTTTCTAGTATCTAAACCTAAAAAATATCAACAGAAACACATGGACCAATAAGTAGCAATGCAGCTCAGGTTACAATGTCACATAACTACATTTTATTCGGAGATCCAAAAATTTGAAAACAACGCAGCAACCCGGATTTGCTATTCTGAATGGGCCCTACCAAAAGTTTACCGGCACACAAATGTGATAAGCGCATAAAATGTATACCAATTCTCTTTTGTAGATGACCTCAATCCAAAATCTCATATATAGCGTCGAGCTTACAATAGACTCAAACCAAATTTTAACCATAAAAGGGAGACAAAATTTTAATATCTAAAACCAGAGTACTTAGACCTTTTACACCCTGAAACAGAAAGAAACTGAAAATCATAAGATGCATTGATAAAAGAAAGATCCAATACAGTTTAAATCAAAGCAGGATTCTCATTCGGGATTCAACATTTTGAACACAATGCAAAATCCTAGATTTGCCAAACCTAAACGCCCCTACCAA